GAATGTATTGGTTAAACCTTTTTCTGAAATGTTTCATTTGCTTGAAAGCGTGATGAATGAATCAAATCTGTTCCATGAGCTTTTCAAACCAACTATGAAGTATAATACGCTTATTCTTCACTTTTCTATTTCAAGTATAATGCACTTGTTCTTTTCCATGAGTGTACTAAAAGAAGCAGGTGACATGAAAAAGTATACGTACTTTGGGGAAGAACTCATTTGGGATGTTCAAATCAAGGAGAATCCACCGGATATACACAACCAATCTCCAAAGCAACGAACTCAAGATGTTAGGGAAGTCTTGAAGCGTTTTAAAAGAAATAAAACGAGAGAGGAAGCCAAACGGTTCCAGCCACCCAATCTGGACAAGTTTAAACACCAAGACGTCTATAGCTTCATTTTCATACAAGAAGAACCCCCAGATCCAATGATGATGATAACAAGCTCTAAACATGCCAAGGACCATATGCAGGTAAGTAAATTCCCATCTCGATTTATTTCTCATGATTCAAGGACTTTGATAATACACTTGCTTTTGGCCAAAGGTGTTGGAGACATTGCAGATGATTCGGATTTGAGGTCAAATCCTTTTCAAGTGGGAGAGGATGATGTGATCATGACCAATCCACTTGAAACACACGAAGACGAGGAGCAGCTTGAAGCCGAGACCACACGTCAACCAAACTCGCCAGTTTCATAACAGTCGTCCATTCTCAACCCGGCCACTAATCAGTTCAATCTAGGCACCAATCCGCATAAACCCACCGGTTTTGGAACAACCGGCCATTCGCAAACCAGCACCCATTCGCCCAATCCTGCCTGTTTTGGAACCACCGGCCACGAAGAACAGCTTGTACCAGAGGAAGCATTGATCATCCGGGCGGGTCCTTTAACAAGATCAAGATCTAAGAAGTTCAACCAAGCCATCAATGGACTTCTAAAGGAGCTAAACAAGACTCAAGAAGACTTTGTTCAATCCTCACTCATAGTGATCACGGCTCAAGAGGTTCGGTAAAGGGTTAAGTAACATTTTTAAGCCCCTTTTATCAACCCTATTCGTGGTCCAAGGCCCACTCACAAAGCCTTGGCCCATTCTATCTTTTCTCTTCAAACTTTGCATTTATTACTTTTGTTATTTCCAAGACTCTTGCATGAGCTTGCATGAGTGTAATTTCCAAGACACTTGTGCATGCTCTAGCATGTTCTTCTCCTCTTTCCTCCTCTCCTTCGTCCTCATTTCTCTATATAAACCCCATGTATCTCTCATTTCCAAACCATCAAACATTTTATTCTAAAACTCTCACTTTACTTGTTTGATCCGAAAAGTGTCTAATATCTTTTCAACTTGTTTTCTTCTTAGTGTGTAATATCTAAGTTGGATCCAAGCTTGTAGTCTAAGAGTTTCTCATCCCTCTTGGGAGTACATCTCATTCTCCCCTTCATTCCGATGCATCCACTTCATCTCGTCATCACCCTCATTCATCGTCATTCTGCAGTTTTGTTCAAGATCTATCCATCATTTACCATCAATCTCGCCACTTTCAATTCAAAACCAGCAAAGTGGTCCTTGGAGTATAGATTCACGGCAAGGAGTCTATCAGAGTCTTTGCATTGTCTTAGAATTGTTCTCTAGGATTGGCCGTGTAGTTTGCTAGGTTTGCTTGCTAGTTCTGTTGCTTGTGCTTGTTGTTGTGTTGTTTTTTTTAACAACAGGCCGTGAAGACTTATCGAGGCAAAAAGGCAAAAAGGCAACGAGGCAAAAGGCAAAAGATGACCGAAGGACAAACAAAAAGTGACCAGACCTCGACGACCAAAAGAGATCCGAGAATCAATCAAGAAGTCAGTAGCCGAGACAAATCCAAACGGAGACCATAAGCGATCGAGAGAAATTTCAAAGTGGGGAAATAAATCTACGATGGCCGTGAGGCAACAAGATTCAGTCGAAAAATCAAGTCTGAAAATACTAAGGAAAATTCAGTCGGAAAATTGTTAGTGGGTGAAGAAAGCATCGAGGTAAGTGTGAAGAGGAAGTAAAAATCTCAAGAAATCAAAGCCGAAGAAGAAATCCAAGTTCACATGATGAAGACCGAAGGGGAGATCAAAATCTAAGTGATGGAGATCAGGTAAATACCGAAGAAGATAAAGGAAATCCGTTCCAGTCCAAGGCAAGAAGGAAGATGGAGTAATCGAAGAAGGCCGAGAAGAAAATTGTCGAAAACCAAAAGAGGTGACCAAAAGAAGACCAATTGAGATGACCGAGAAGACCCGAAGACCCAAGAAGGAGAAACATGGAAGAAGTTAAAGACGTCAAGCGAAGGAGCGAAGACCAGCGAATGAATTCGAGGATGAATTCTTATGAGGGGAGAATGTAGTGACCCTCACCCTGATCTAGTAGCCGGATGAAAAATCATCGATGAACGGGTGAGAAAAGAACTCTGAAAGACTTAGAAGAAGTAAAAATGGTGATCTATCGAAGCCTTACCGAAAGAAACGCAGTTTGGTCGAGAAATTTATGAAGGAACGTAGCCGGAGAAATACGTTATCGACCACACGAAGATTGGACCCGAAAGTGAAGCAAAGTATCTCGACCCACGGTTGTAATAGTTTTGTGTTTTTAATTTAATAAAGTATGGGGGAAACCCCAGTTCCTCACCCAAAAAAAAAAAAGCTACCTACCCTTTAAATTCCAATTTTACTTGTGCGTAATTTTGCAATATGTTAATTATAAAAATCATCCTAAATTTTCAAAGAAGATAAAATATGGATTCAACGAAATCGACACACAATTAGGAGAATACAGAGAAATATGAAGGTAGAAGGCAACATTTGGAATAATTTAAAATAGAAACATTTGTTTTCTTTTCAGATAGAGTTGTCAGTCATGTTTATTTAGTATTAGTTTTTAATTACTAAATGTTCATATAAATTGTGAGATTGTTATTAAAATTGTCACAGTTTAATGTAGTTGAACAATTTTTGTAATAATAATACTATTATTTTGTTGAATATTTATGTAAGTAATTCTGACATACTATAATTAATGTATATACTATTTTATCTTTTACAGCTCGAATAACTTCAGTTTTTTTAGCGAACGAAAAAAAAACATTTTTTTTGTTTTGAAAAAACATATTATCATGAAACTAATTTTAATGACATATTATCAGAAAAAATCACAAATTAATGTGAAATTAATACATAGGCAAAGAGCCGAACATACCACACCGATCACCACTTATACCATAAACAAACTTTTATCGAGAACCTAACTGTGTCCACATTCACATATTAAGACCCAAAAAAAACTGTGTCAACATCTCCCTTTCCCAATTAGCTTGCCACTCGTAAAATGTATTTTTGTCTATATATAGAACAAAACTCACAAATTATTAAACAAAGAATATGTATAAATCGAAATATTTTAAATGAGTGTACGTATATATAGGATTGATAGTGTGTAACAAATAAAAAAATATTTAGTGTGTATTATAGGATTGCTAGTAGTTAAAATCATAAGTCAAAACTGACCATATTACAAATTACAAAAATTGTTTGTGCAACTGTTTGCGTTTTAGAAAAATTGTTATCGAGTTTGGTGCTGTGATTCTATAGTATTTATAGTACTTGAAGAAGATGATAGGGTTTTGTGTGAATGGGTACAAAAAATATTGGTGAAGAAGTATATTTGTATATCTTTTAAATATCATAATCTCAGAATTGTTAAGTTATATTTGGGAAGTTTGGTTAACGAATCAGAAATATGGATCCCGTGGACTGTAATATATATATATATATATAGTGGTGGAGAAGAAAGACGTCGACTTAAACCTAGAGTTGTGATGGCCGTGGGGATGAAGTAAAAAATATTTTTAGGGGGGGGGGGTTATTGGATCATTGATTTTGATGGATTTGGACATCCAAACAAAAATCATATGTTATTCAATCATTGATTTTAAAATAACTATCAAAATCATGTGATATTGGTTTTATTATTTATAAATACTAGTTAAAATCCTATGTTATTCATTTAGTGATTTGTTTTTGGATTTTAAAATCCGTAGTATGTTTTAAATGGATTTGAAAGGATTTGATAGTGTAAAATAGAAGGATTCAAATCCAAGAATAAAACATGTTATTTCAAAATCCATGTATTTTGATTTCATAAATAATGAGGATTCACAAATTCTATGTGGATTTACAAATCAATGATCCAATAACCCCTCTTCAGATATTCGAAATGAGAATTTGAGATCTTCAACGGAAGTATCTATACTATTAAAAGGGGAGCACAATTAAAAGTTGTATCCAAACAAACCTTGAAAAAAAATATTGAAAAATATACAATTGAAAACCTATTACCAAACACTATTTGAAAACAATATTAGTCGGAATTTTTTTAAAAAAAATCTACCTAATCACTTCCACATACTTAACTGCCAATCTTCACTTTAAATCGTCAAGTAAATTCCAGTACTGATAGCTTCCTTAAATCATGCGGGATAAACCATCATAATTAACAATAATATACAAAATATCCCAAAAGTTTAGCTAAACATTGTCAAATAAATGGTAAAGAAATAATTATAGTAACCATAAACAATCACCCAATTAATACTCGATTTATAATTTAAAAACTTTCTTAAAACAATTACACATTAAATTGAATCAACTTTAAATTAGCTAAATTATAGTAACCATAATATATGTCCTCCTCAATAGTAGTTGGTAAGGTATAATTCCATTACCATCTACAAACCAACTCAACATAACAGATTCGGAATAACAATATAACATAATCAATAAAATTCCTAAAATCTTGGTATCTACTATAACTTGATAAACTTCATTGTCACGTATAAATCGTAGAAATATCTAAACAAAATATTCTAAAATCAATATAATTTTTAACCTAATGAAAACTACCTTCTTTATACATCTCTATATATATAAGTCATGCTTTTATAGTGAACATAACACAAACAACCATTAGCGCTAGCAATATGGCCGCAAACAATGGTTTCACTGACCTATCAAGCATTAAACCATTCAAGACCGCGTGGAAAATCAAAGTGAAGATTATCCACACGTGGAAACAGTATAATACCTACACAAGAGAGACCATTGAGGCTATCCTTGCTGATGTATCTGTAAGTAATACGTTGTTAAAAATGTTTTTCATACAATATATTGGAAAATCTGTGTTAATATTTAATTTCTCATGTTTTGAAGGGAACACTGACTCATGCAACAATCAAGAAGCAACAGTTGACCAAGTTTCAACGTCTCATTGTACATGGTGAATGGAGAACCATTGAAAATCTACAGCTAATTAGATCTGCTGGAAAGTTCAGAGCAACAAAACATCCTTACAAGATGTCCATTATGAATTCATCGATCATATCAAAATGTCCTCCATTGTCAAATGATTTCTATTTGGATGTAGCCACCTTTGAAGACATCTTAGATGAAGATGTCTTGAATGAACACATCTTAATTGGTAATTCAAGCGTTTTTATTTCTAACTGTTTTATAAAAACAATATTCTGACTTAACAAATACTTCCTCATACAGATGTGCTTGGCCAGGTTGTCAATGTAGGTGAGATTAAAACATCTTCACAGAATGACAAACCAAAAAAACGATTGGAGGTTGAATTGAGAGACACTAGGTAATCGACTACATTCTATATCAATCACTCTATATGCAGTTAAATAGGTTATGTTTTAACAATTCTGTTTGATTTTCAGCGACCAACGTTTATCATGTACTCTATGGGGCAAGTTTGCAGATACAATGTGGGATGCATGCCAAAAACTAGCAGCTGGATCGGTTGTCTATTTGCTGCGATGTGCTAAAATCAATACATATAATGGTAACATAACTAACCCTATATTTCTAAAATTAGCTTAGAAACGTATTAACAACAGATATACAATCTAAATGGTTTGCAGGAGAGAGATCTGTTTCAAATGCATTTGATATGTCGCTCTTGGAAATCAATCTAGACCATCCAATTGTTGGAGATTTCATAGCAGAGTATGTGTAACAATTAATAGTATATTATAGCCGTAACTAACTTCATTGTGTTCCTAATCCATTTCATTGTTTTAACATTCGCAGTTTACCAAAAGATACAGTTTACCAAAAGATAATCTTTAGATTACATTTTTGGCCAAACAGTCTACAGAACGTATATTGAAAAAGGAGAAAGATGAGTACATCAACCAATATCCAATGAGTACTATTTCAGATCTATTCGAAGCTACCTTGGTAATTATTCATCTATATGCATTACTCAACTGTATATGAAATAGTTCTATTAATTAAGTTCTTATGTATGGATCCATAGGAAGGGAAGATGTTGATCGTGTGTACTATTTATCACATTGACATGGAATTTGGTTGGTATTTTTTTATGTGTCTCAAATGTAAACAAACTTGCTACTTGATTCCAAAGAAAGAGAATGAGCCTGTTAGTAAGACAAAGAAGCGTGTTTGGTACTGTAAAACATGTAACCAAGATGTCAACAAGGCTGTACCCATGTAATCAAAACAAAACTAATGCTTTAAAACAGTTTTCTTAATATTATTACTACTATAATATATATCTCTATTATTAATGTTTTGCTATTCCAACAAAAATACAGGTACATACTTTGTCTTGATGTTATGGACACTACTGGGGAAACCAAATTCATCTTATTTGATACAAATGCGCAAAAGATTGTCAATCATAGTATAACAGAGCTCTTAGAAGGGAATTTTCAAGAGGTACAGTTTGCTATCAAAGTTTAATATCTGTTAAAAAAACTAAAGTATTAAGTTTGTTCTAATTGATTTAAAAAACTGCAGATATCAGACCCGACTAATGTCCCAATGCCACTACAAAATTAGTTGGAAAGACTTTTAAGTTTCTTGCAACAATAGCAACTGCAAACATCACCGAAGGTAAAGAAAGTTACAAAGTCTCATATGTAGAAATGGGCGATGCCATAACTAATGTGGATGATATTGAAGATTCTGAAATTCAACCAGACCCTAAGGATGCTATTTCTATTTATCAAGTATTAAACGTTTCTCAAATCATCTTAAATATTTTTAAGTTTTCTCTGTCTATTAAAATTTGTGTCAAATATTTTTTTGGTAGGATCAGATAGGTATCTCTAATAGCAATGAAACTGGTGATTTTAATGGGACTGCGACTACTACTCCTTCCTGAAAACGTAAAGAGGACTCCATTGAACCGGCTGAACAATCATCATCTTCTAGGAAAATGTGTCTACCATCCATAAAAGATGCCACTGAAAACGAAAAAGTGGAGGGATTGGTTGAAAATGAAACAAAAGTTACAGAACCAGAGAAAAGTGGAGGGGAGAAGGTTAATGCTGATTAATTGATTTGATCAGCATTGGTCATTTTTTATTTAAGTTTTACTGTTTAAGTTCTTTGATTTTCAAAATAAAGTAGTATGGTTTTTTATGTTTGGTATTAAGTTATTGCATAAGCAATAAGTTAATATACAAACATTTTTCCATACTATTATTGTATCCGTACTTTGGTATTTGGTTATTTGCAGTTACAAATTATATCACCCTTTTTCATTATTCATGCATCTGAAAACCATAGAAAGTATTTCTGAACTTAAAAAATATTGCAACATATCTATGGATAGTTGTGTGCTAAATTAAACTTTAGATGCTTCACCTATTTTCTATACGTTTATATTGGAAAAATAAAACCAGTCAAATATGTTTTCAAGTGGTCAAACTAAACAGAACAAAAAAATAAAAGTTATGTCAATACAAAACAAAACTGCAAACATGACAAACATTAAAAGTTAATGGTCAACTACTCCCAAAACTGACAATGTTTTTTACTTTAGCTTTTACACTGCAAAAAGCAAAACATAAATGCAGACCTAATTGTTTCTCACCAAATAATAAAAAAAAATTATATAAAAAACAGAACCAAAACAAAAGGCTAATCGGCTATATATAGTGTACAAGCTATAGCTATAAACAGATATAAACACGAAAAACTACTTCAGCAAAAATTCAGCCAAACAAATGTGGAGAGAAACCTTCTTCTCTACTTTGCAGCAAAATACAACTAATCAACATGTAAATTTGTGGGAGCATTGTAAAGTTTTGAAGTTAACCAAAAAACATGAGGCTTCTAGATAAAAAAATTGACTTCAGTACAGGCAAAAGAACTAAAGGACTTCTCTGAGTGGATTTTGGCAGTTGGAGATGGGAAGATAAATGAACCAAATGATGGTGAAGTCATGGTTGATATTCCAGAAGAATTTTTAATCACAGAAACTGCAAATCCTATTGAGGCTATAACCAGTAAAGTATATGGGGATCCTAAGTTGTTGAAGGATAAAAAAGATTCTGCTATTTTCTATCAAGAGAGAGCTATTCTATGTCCAACAAACGAGGATGTTGGAGTTATTAATGAATATATGCTTGATCAGCTTGAAGGTCAGTTATCAATACTCTACTATTTAATTATTTACAAGTTTTATTACAAGTATATATTTACTTAACTATCGACTGTGTTATATTATATGGGGAAAATTGTTTGTATGTAGGTGAGGAAAGAACATACTTAAGCTCAGATTCTATAGATCCTGCTGACACACGATCCAAAAATAATCCAGTTTTAACATCAGATTTCTTAAACAGTCTAAAACCAAATGGTTTGCCAAATCATAGAATTAGATTGAAAGTAGGTTGTCTAGTGATGTTGCTAAGGAATATAGATCCTAGAGGAGGTCTAATGAATGGGACAAGGTTGCAGATTACACAATTAGCTGAGTTTGTTTTGGAAGCAATCATTATTACAGGTGACAGAGTTGGTGATAAAGTTCTAATCCCTATGGTATTGATCACACCATCAGACACTAAACTACCATTCAAGATACGTAGAAGACAGCTGCCTTTAGTTGTTGCTTTTGCAATGACTATAAACAAAAGTCAGGGACAATATTTAGATTATGTCGGATTATATTTGCCTAGACCATGTTTCTCACATGGTCAATTATATGTCGCTGTTTCAAGGGTCACTTCAAAGAAAGGCTTGAAGGTTTTGATAGTGGATAAAGAAGGTAACCCTCAGAAGGAAACGATGAATTTGGTGTTTAAAGAAGTTTTCCAGAATCTATAAGCCTATGCGAAGAAAGATTTAAATCTTTCTTCAAGGTAGCACAATCCTGGTCATATATATGTTTACATGAGTTTCCAGTATGTTCATATATCCTGGATGTCTAACTATAGATGTTTTAACTATGTGGACAGTGCAATCAAGAGGAGAAAAGTTCAAGATCTACCAAAACTCCGAAAAAGAAGTACAAAAAACAATAAGAAAACCAGACATTGGATTAGTTTTTGATTTTTGTGCAATTTTTTAAAAAAATTATAAGATTTCAAAGACTAAATAGTTAAAGAGAATTTTTCTCTTTTGTCAAACTTTGGTTTTTACGGTTTTAACCAGAAATTTATTGGATTACTATGAACTGTACAGAGATATATCACATACAAATGGAATTTGTAGACTGAAGAAAACATTGAATCTATACAATAAATAAAAAGTTCAGACTAATAAAGAAGGAAAGAACAAACTAACCATGAATAGCAAGAGATACTCCTCTAATCGAAATGAATAACATTACCCAGTAAACTAGACAATGGACCTGCATCAACAAATGTAATTAGATAAACTTAATAGAAATGTTTAGTACCTGTCAAAATAAACCATGTCAATATGTTTGGATTACTTATCTTGAATCATTCCTCATTTGCTGTGGCCGATTCTGCTAGATAGAATAATAAGAACAGTAAGATAATGAACATAATAAAAAAATTCAGCAACCCATATACACGATTTAAAGAAAACGACATCCGAATCGTTGAACGAAACATACACTACGAAACTTAATTGAACCCGAACAATATTTACAAGTTCATAACAAAATCCTAAATCGTGAAAGCTATAATCTAATTAATTTCAAATAGAAATTACCTTGACACAAAAAGGATGAGACTCAAATATCTAAACAATAGGACTTATAATCGCAAGCATAGATGAACTGATTCAGCAGCAAAAAATGTGGAGCTATTTGGGGATCTCAGTTTTGTAGGTAGAAGACAACAAACATTGTTTATCTTTTCTTTTTTTCAAATTTTTTTTTTTCCTTTTTCCTCAAGGCCTGTCAAAAATGTTGGGCTACAACATTATTATCCAAAAACGAAAATGGGCCTCGACATCACTCATATTTCCAATTTCATAATTATGAAAGCCCAATTTCCATCACTCATTCATGTTATACAATTAAAAATACACTAGGGATGGACCCGCACATACGTGCGGGGTTAATTTCAAAAGTTTGTATCACATACGTGCGTACAAGGTTGATTTCAATATATTACATATGTGCAAGATAAAGTTTGTAAACGTATTTTTAAGTAATGTTATTGAATTCATTATCAGAAGAATTCGTATCAGTTTCATATCGTTTTTAATTCGATTTAGATAAATAAATTATCAGATTTGTTTTCGTTAAGTTAAGAACATTACATAAAAGAAAATTAGTAAAAAAAAAGTCACAAAAAGTGAATATTTCATAACCGTGATGTCCCATCTATATCATGTTTTCCATCTTATAATCATGGTTTTAAAACTCATTTGAGATTATATATTTTAGTCTAACATATAAAAGAATAGGTAAGAGTTTCGGAGCCACAAATACGTTTGCTTTGCTTTCTTCAAATTTTTGAATGTATGAAATAATAATCGCTTTAGATCGACATGATAGCGGACCCGGAGAAAGTGTAAACCGGATTAGTGATAATCTAAATTTCTATGTAAATCGTGAACTATCAAACCAGGTAAAAACAACATAAAACACTAAAACTTCTTGAAACAAATGACCTAAATATAGTTGTCAAGCGAGTCAAACTCGTCCACTATGTCTAACCTGCAACGAACTACAATATTTTAACCCCAAAAACCCGTTCTTCGAAATTCGCATGAGTGAATAGTATATATGTATCTCCCTTAGTTGAATTTGTGTTATCCAAAATTTCTGCCTCGTATTTTACCAGCATTACTTTAGATACTATTTTTTTATTATTTTCTGAATTACCCGCGCTCTTCATGTACCCATTATTTCATGTTTCAATATTTAAAATAAATAGGAAATTTTAGCTATTTAAATTTCATGATTTCTGTATTGTACTTGTAAATTGATATTTGAAAGTCAAAATTGAATTTAACTATCCAAATTAGTGAATTTGTCTCAATACTTTTTTTTCCTAGTCCTTTTTTTTATTAGAAAAATTTTAGATATTTTTATTTTTAAAAATTAAATATCACTACCAACCTTTTTATTCAATTATGTTATCTAAAACTTATGTCCCATAGTTTATCAAGAATAGTTCGGAACTACACCCATATGGTGGATAATGTTGTAGATATTTATTTGGTATAACTTACAAAATAAAAATTTATACTCGTGTGGTTTAGGTTCACTTTATGACTGATTAATATATTTATGATTTCACTCATATTTTGAAACTTAGCTTAGACTGATCAGTTAGATTTCTATCAAACTCGTGAATTGGATAACCAAAACAGACATGTTGATACTGGTTCAATAATTAAATCTCCTAAGTTTTTAAACATATTTTAGAAATAGTTATATTTCTTAACATATAATAAAAAAATATATTTTAAAAAATTATATAAAAAAATTTATATGCTTAACCCGTCCAATTAACCCGTGGATTATAATATTTTTTAATGGTTTAGATCTTAATCGTAATTCACTTATATGCAAAAAGAAATATGTCGAAGTATATAATGCTATGTTCAACTCTCGGTATTCCTCTATCTGTATAATACATTGAATGTACAGAGGTGGATTTATAACTATCATACTATAGATATAATATATGTAGATGTAACTTAATAATTTTTCATATTTAGTGTAAAATTTGTAATTTTAGAATTTTAGCTATCCAAAAATAGTTTGTTATTTTTATGTCCAGTTCCATATTATTAAAAATAATTTTTAGTATTTAAATTACATCTTCCTACTATTTTACTTTTTTTTAATTTGCAATATATATAATTATATGTCTACACCCACTACATAATCAAAAAGATCAATGTCATTATCATGATTTGTTTAAAAATATAGTTTAATATGTAGATGTTATACACTCGATTTTGAATCATACAAAATATATTTCAATATGTAGATTTAATATAGATTGGTTTAGATTTTATTGTTAAGATTTTAATAAATGAAAATTTTAATTGATGAATCTACACTAATTAGTTAGTTTCCTAAATTATAGAATCGATCAATATTTTTATAATTAATATGACATATTTTTACGGTTTGTTTCTCCACATTTATGGTTGACCTTTATTTCTAGTACGACATTATATAATTTCTTCGCAAGTACGAAATTATATAAGTTTAAGAGATTTTATGTGATATGGAATGTTTCTTTGCATGATTTTAGAATTTTTTAAAAAATTTATTGATTTATTTTCAGATTTTTAATTTAAACATTTTTTTGTTATCTTCTTAAAATTATATAGTTTTTAAAATTTGATGATATAATAAAATATGTTGTATATTTCTTCACATTTTATGCTATATAGAATTTGATTAGTCGCTTATTTTCTAATCTAACATATATTTTCTTTTCCTAAAATATCATATTTCTTTATGTTAAATATATAATCATTTTTTATTACGTTTCATTAATTATAATTTATTGTTTTCAAAAATATCTGAAAGTATATAATTAATATTAAATATGTTTCCATATGTTTAATTTTGAATATAACTGTCCACTTTTTTATGGTAACAAACTTAATATGGTTTCCATAAATATAGATAATTCATAATTTTGGTTTTTATTTTTTATTTATTTAACTATATTTTTTGGCTGTCTTTAAATGTGTTTGGCAATAGGTTTGCAATCACATTTTTTGTAATATTTTTTTTTCAGGTTTGTTTGGCAACAAAGAATAAAAATGATCCCCAATTAATAGTATAGATTTTTAATTTTCGATTATTCATATTTTGTATATCAAATATTTAATATATATAAATACTAACAAAAAAACACAAAAACACATACTTAAAATAAAGAATAAAAATGAAAAAATAAATCCCGCACGTAAGTGCGGGTCCGATCCCTAGTATCCCTATATTAGTAAAAGAGAAGTACAAAAATGAAATGGGTCGGGTCAAGTTAAAAAATTACTCAAAATTACCCGATTCAGAATACATGGATATTTAGATTATTGGATCTTAATTTGGGTATGGATATAACCCATCAATGAATAATTTCGAAAATATTTAAAATAAATATTCCAGTATTTTAGGAAACTTATTAACTAGAAATGTATCATTTCTATATTTTATGAAACTATATTAATTATGAATAAGCAACTCCTATATTTTAGGAATTTATATAAATGATTAAGTACAAAAGATCTCAATCTTAAACAAATATTCCAAATATTAAATATAGAGATTTATACATTTTAAAAAATCTAATTTAATATGATAACTTAAATTGATCCTAATTATTTGGAACAAATTAAATAGTTTTTAAAATATGAAAAATAATTTCAAATATATAGAGCTATAAAAAAACGAGAATACTATAATTATATAAAATATTTTTCATTCTTTTGTCATTTTTCCTAATACGTAAAATGAAAATGAAAAAAATTGGAAAGATATTCTGATATTTTCTCATATCTCTATCAAATTAATTTACCTAAAAAGGGAAAAAATCTTATAACATTAGCATAATTAATGAAAAATTACAAAGATTCGGTATATCTAAAAATAACTATTCTAAAATTTGGAACAAACAATAAATATATTGTGTGACAACCATATATAAATATAAAATAAATAATTAAATTTGACGATAATTTTTATAATTAATTATGAAATAATTTAATAAATTAAAATTATAAGATGATTATTATAATTAATCACAAAATATTTTATTAAAAATAAAATATTTTTTATTAGGGAAAATTTTACTTTTTATTTTTATTAGGGAATGTCTTTGAAAATTTTCTTACAAAATTAAAAGATATAGTTTCTTTTCGATATATAATTATCTTTGTATTTATTAGTCATTCTAATTAGTGTAATACAAAATCAGTTTAAAATGGTTTAATACAATACAACAATATTGAAATCATATATGTTTTTGATATCAAAATTTATTTTTCGATTTTATATTAAAATACTATTTCACAACTTATTAACTACTATTTTTTGCGAAGCAATGATAATAAAATGGAATTAAACATCCTAAACATTAAAAAAATCCATAATACTAATTAAATTTTCTTATTCGGAAATTCAGTAAAATAGAACGTCATTATGCAATTCATTTTTTATAGTTCATATATTAGGTCTTTTAATTGAAACTCACTTCTAAAATATAATTATTATTCTCAAAAATAACACACAATACTGAATTAAAAATGTAATATATTATAATTTATAAATCAATATTACTATTGTTATCATAGGAAAATTTAAATTTGTCCTCGTAACTTCTATTTTTATAGGGAATAAAATTTCTCAATTTTCAATTATTTTCATTTTTATGTCATGATTCAATTATATTTATTTAATTATATTTCTATTTTCAAAAATTACTCAATTTTTATAATTCTTTTAAAAATACACGGATCTTTACGGGGTTGTTCGTCACAATATACATTGTGAATATGTCATTTGTTTAATACATATTTTTTTATTTTTATTTAAATATTATATTTCATTTCTGACTAGATACTTTCTCCAATGAATTGAAACCAAATATACATTTCGAAATAATAATTGTTAATACTAAATTAAACGAAATAATAACACATCTGATCAAACATGTTAAAAATAAAATAAACCGAAAACATTCCCCCCGCTGTAGCGTGAGTCCAAACCTAGTTCTAAATATATATGTGATGGTAATTATTATTCTTTAACATTATTGAGATTCGAATAATATTGGATTGCTACAATGGTGGAGTGACGAAGATACGCCTAGATTAAGGG